CCTACACCCATCCACCATAGCCAAACACCTTGCACCTTCTTCCTTCACCTTCACCTACACCCATCCACCATAGCCAGCCACCTTGCACCTTCCTCTTCCACCTTCACCTACACAAGTCCACCATAGCCAACCACCTTGCACCTTCCTCCTCCACCACCTCCTTCACCCATCCACCATAGCCGGTCACCTTGCACCTTCTTCTCCACCATTTCCTTCCACCACCCAAGGGTCGTAGGCAAAGGAGGGCTCCAAGGTGCACGCGGGACCTAGGTCGGCCAATAGAATGGGCAACGGGGTAGGGTTGATTAGGGTAGGGGACTTTACTCTCTCTCTCTCTCTCTCTCTCTCTCTCTCTCTCTCTCTTTCTCTCTCTCTCTCTCTCTCTCTCGCTCGCTCCTTCATTCTCCTTCACCCTCTCCCTCTCCACACTCTCTCTCCCTTTCTCTCTCTCTCTCGCCCTCTTCCCCTCTAGACCCCTGGCCTTCACCCCCCTTCTCCCTCCTCCCTTCACTTCTTGGCACTTGACCCTCCCTCACTTGTTACATTGTCAGGGAACGAACGTTAAACAAACACGGTCCTCACTTGGTGGAGAAAGAGGGCAAGGGGAGGGTTGTCGGTCCCTTGTGCCACCAAGAAGGAAAAGAACTGGACCTTTGTGGAGACTTGAAAAGGCGAGATCTTTTGAAAAGGCTGAAAAAGTAAAGGTTTGAGACCAGGTCAGTTTGACTCAGACCAGGTCAGTTTGACTCAACCATTCTCCCCGACTGCATGACTAAGGAGAAGGCATGGCTTGCTTGAAGGGAGGGAAAGAGAACCAAAAGGGTCATTGGAAGAGGAAGGAACTTAGGCTTGCGGGAGGGGCGATGTGTTGACCCCAATGGGGATTGTACTTGGTCTTTGCTTGTGTGGTCTTGCGCAGGTGAGTAGCTTAGGACGGATTGAGCGGGACTGGACCCGCGGAATGCGGGTAGGAATGGGAAAACCGATAAGGGAAGGACATGGGACTAGCGCAAACTATGGAAGCGGGTGGGACTTGATGATCGTATGCTTGGAAAAAGAGACATGGCTTGTGTGATGGATGCGTATCTTGATTCTCTGTGTGCAATATGGAAGCCTGAAAAGACTAAGGGTGACAATGGAGATGCGAATAGGAAGATTATCAAGCAAAAAAAAAAAAATAGGGGCTAGGGGCATGGACGGTGCGGCCGCCCGATGACGCCATAAAGATTGTCATGCTTAGTGAAAAGGTGTGTGGCCCAATGGATGACGCTTGGCCTACACACGAAAGAAGACGAGCTCTCAACGAACTCCCTGGACTGCTTGTGTATTGGAAGGAGCAATTGTCTGGCCACACTTAAATGAATCAAGAAAACGTCACGAGTGACCAAAGAGCTACCATCTAACGCGAGAGCGGAGCTACATCCCCCAATGTAAAGCCCTCTTGCAAAAGGCCCATCCCCATCCATCTTAGCACTAGGTGGGGGTGCCCCTGGGACGAACGACCCCCGCCCTGAGCGTGAGCGTGGGCGAGTCGAGTCAACTGGGACCCGCAGTGGGATCGACTCAGGCTCGAAAGTCCTTTAGGGTACGTGCCCTACAAAAATGGTGGAGGTGCCGGGTATGGGTTAAACTGACCCATGCGATCTTGAAGGGGGCGCCCGACTTATGACCATGTACATAACCAAAGACAAAGGAACGAGGACTTGTGTATGCTCTATCCCCTTGAGAGAATCAGATTTGAGGGCAGTTGGGCGCATGGCAAGGCCAGACCTGGAGGAATAACATGCATGTTGCACACTTGATTAGCCGCCTCCTTGGGAGGTGACTCTAGTCCTCCTTCTTTCGGGCTGATGTTCGTCAATCCGGGGAAGCCTTGGGCAAGCCGCAGGTCGACCCTTCCTCTTCGTGTGAAAGAAGGGTTCCGGTTACCTAGCAGGCGGTTGGAATTCCGGGCTAGTCCGGGTTCCGATGAAAATCCCCCGGCGGAGTGATCCGGCCGACATGGGTGTCTCCTTCCCTCTTCTTCGGAGCTCAGCGGGCTCCTTGCACTACACTTGAAATGCTTGAAGGAACCTCACATGAACAAAACGGGTAATCGAGAAGGAACAATCCTGCCCTCTGAACGGACACACAAGCGAAGATAAGGGAATGAAGGGAGTTGCTAGACTCCAAAGAAAACTAGCTCACCTTTGAAGATGCTCACGAAAAGGAACTGGACACTGTGTATGGAAATTAGGGGTGAGCGTCACACACGGTCCTAAGAGAAAAATTGTAAGCTATGGGTAGGAAGCGCTGGGTGCACCAAGGGAAAGGCACCTGTATTATGTGTGTCCCACTTGCGACTTGTGCTTGCATGATGGGGATTTGAGCGTCCTACCTTTCGGAAGGAAAGGAGGGGTCTGCACTGGTCGGTGCGGGTTGCGAAACGTCGCTCTCTTTTTGTAGGCTGCCGTGTGTTCGTGTGCCGAGGTCAGGCCACCGAGTTGTCGGACGGGAGTTTGTCACGTCGGGTGATTAGTAGCATTCTCGTTCGAGCGGTGACGAGCTTTGGCTCGATGATCTGCCAGGCGGGGTGCGAAACGTCTCCTCAGGCGGGGCTTAGCCTGTTGGCTGGCGGGGGGAGTACCACTGCATGCGGACAAAGACGGAGCCTCGGAAACAATTAGTAGCTTCTCGTAGCTTGGTTTGGGAAAGGCTGTTCCTTGTCGGACGGATGAAAGTGAATGCCCGGACGGCTGACTTTCGTCCCAACCGGGGTATGCAGATGGTAATTCCCGGTACCAACAGGGGTGTGCAAAAGCGGCAATACGGGATGGGGTATTCTAGGCAAGAAGGTGAGGGTGACCCCCCACTGGAGTCTGGGTACCGCGCTTGTGACGGTTGAGCTGTGCTTGAGGTACGGGATAAAACTCTGCCGATAGTAACAGTGGAGAGACCACTTTGGGGAAAGGCCGGTGAGGAGATGACC